ACAGTATGATTTACTTACAGTAATTTGGTTAAATATTTTGTTATTAATGATATCTTATCAAATCTCGCAAAAATAGTTGATTTGTAATAGAATATTCATGGAATACCAAAACAGTATTTTATTTGTTCACCAGAAGTAGATAACTCCCTATGTTATTTTAAACGATCTTTCATAGTTGGTATAACAAACTATATCTAACAGCTTAGAAAATTAGATTTCTTTTGTATAAATGGGATTGACGTGAACTGATATGAAACTCTGAACTTAAATGTTATACATTCTGGTATTCATTACATGGAATGATTCGTAAACACACGAAAATATCATTCGTATTAATCACTAAAAATATAACAACAAAAACATTTAGTTCTTAAAACTGTGGTCCATTAACATCAAGCACTTAGAATTAAAAAGAAATAAACTTTGTCATTTTAAAAAGTTATGAAGTGGATCTGTTACAATGAATCCGTTGATTGAAATGCTTCTTTCATTAATTATGTGAATAACTTATTGATCACCATTTGGGAATAAATTTGTTTGAAACATAAACTGGCATATTACTGCCACTACTTAGGTGATGCACTAATTATCTGCGAAAAAACGGTTAACCTATAACAAATCTTTAAAACATTTAATAATGCATATCCATCATTTAGTTTCATATAAAAACAAGCACGTTATAAGATACCATTTCTAACTGCCCTTCCTTGCAAAACATTGGAGGATTTGGCAAAGATAAATGTATATAGAAAAGAAACTTGGGCAAGACAATATATCCACTTGCACAGCTGGACAACCTATCAATATAAAATTAATTTAGCTGAGTGTATCAGCCAAAGAACCTGATCAATATGCACTGAGGATGATATAAATGAAAAACTAGACAAACTGATGATGACACTACTAAAAAGTGGATACGCTAAAAACTTTATTAAGAAAAACACATCTCAGACTAAAAGAAAGATGTAGACTTCGACAGTTAAAAAATAAAACTCTATACTTAAGACTTGAATTCAGAGTTGATATAGCAACTGAGATTTTAACACTTCAAATGAATAGATTCATTAAAACGACTATTAACGGCTCTTAGATACACGTAACTTTCTCAACAAATTATATACTAATGAAGAAGGTAATTGTTAAGACACCAATGATGGGATCATCAATTTCTGCTCATCATTTTAACTGTTCTTGTAGGACTAAATATGTTAGCCGTACTCAAAAGTCTTTGTCCTTATGTGCTCGTGAACACATACCTCCATGTTTAGGGAAAGGCGTTATAAAGTCTGTTAAAATCCCTATACTTTACCATTGACTGTGCACATTACATAAAAACTGAAGATCTCCTCTCAAATGTACAACTAGTTCTTAGTAATCTAACATAAGGCACAAGATTACTTACTCTTACATTTTATAGTTGAAACAATTTGTATCACTTCAAAGAAACCCGAATTGTGTATACTGAAAAGTTATGTGCAACATCTCTGCTTATCTCGGCCTACATTGGGGTCCTTTCATTCTTAATAACCATTATGTATCTTCCCCCGTTATTATAATTAATACAACCTTCCAAGACATTTTTGTTTTTATCTCTAATTATACTCTCATGCTTCTTATTCTATATGATAATCTTGTTAATAATTATTCGCAATATTAATACTGTTATTACTATCATAAAAAATACGAAACAAGTATTTCTTTAAATCATGAACCGATCTACGTTAGACCACCATTGAAAACCTGAAAGCAAAACCCCATACTGACGAGCATTCCCATTTTGTATTAACTTGTTTTGCATACGATTTTAATTTATTGATTAGAACTCATCACCTAAATTAAGGCATACATTTTCTCATGATTTTTATTTATGACCTTTTTTCAATACTATCAATGATGTTATTTTATTTTGTTAGTAATTTGTTTTAGTTAAGACTCGAATGGCATGGAATTTGCCATTTTCAATTTATAACATGGATTAATTCAACTTTAATATTTTATTTGACATAAAAATATGATAATTTGGGATTTATAACTATTGTGCCTGATGTAAACGTTTCACGTAGACGATCGTTGGATCCAGATTATAATTTTCTTTGTTCTTGAATACTCTATGGGAATTTTTAAATTACTGACTGCTTTCATACTTAAACACTAATTTTAAGTTTAAACTAAACTATTGGATAGTACAAGTGAAATTTCAGAAAGTATCTATAATAGTTTTTGGAATATATCGATTAAAAAATTTCCAAGCGTATATTGTTTCACCAATAAACCATAAATAATATTTATTATAATCAGTTCCATCAATCAACTTAAATTATAAAAAAAACAACCGACTTTCCGTTGGTAATAATTCAACATATTTTATTGATTTTTCTGTATGATTAAAATTAACCGCCAAAATATATGAAATTTCCATAAAAACAAAGTTTTTTTTCTGGAAAATAGAAAAATTCACTATTGAATATTGAGAATTTCGCTAAATATAAAAATTTCAGTGAATCATACATTATTATAGAATTTTGTCGATCAAATTATTAAACATTGAAAATGTACAATTTCAATTATACAGTGTACAATTTGTTTGTTTTTTCTAAAAACATTTTGAATCTAATTTATGCATCTATTAGAATTTTGATCAAGTTAAATAGAATAAAGTTCTGGCTCCATATAACGTCTACTTAATTCTGACTATTTTTTTCTCTAAAATAATGTCCTTTGATCTGGAAAACAAAATTTATTTAGTCTATTTTATATTGTTAATCCTATCTGATTTTTAGTAGTTAAATGACATAAACTAGAATTTAGGACTACTCTATCGTCTAATTAGATTGCGTGCTAGCAGTTATTCATCTGGATGGTATGTGTAGAAACTTTATAGTTATTAACTGAAATAAAACTACCTATCTTCACGGTGTGAGTATAGTGATATCGAAATGTGAATGTGACATCTTAGACCAATACGATCATCTGTGTAGCAGCGTTGTTATACAATAAACTGACGGCTCAATACGTCTAGATTAATAGAATCTGTTCATCACATACCCTTTACCAGTTCTAGCGGTTGTAAAAATATATCAGTCACTTGAAAGATAATCTTTTTTATCATCGAATGGTTCAGGAAGTTGGTTATTGTACAGAGATTAATGATTTCTGACTCCATTGTGGTTTTTTGGATTACTCAAAAAATCATTTCAGTTCAAGATTAGTGGGATGAAGTGTGAACACGCAAAACATGACGAATAATTATATAATGAATGAATTAATATGTTTAGTCAAATATTGACTTATAATATAGGAAGGATCGTTGGTAATCAATGGAATGATAATAATTCCAAATTTTACTTCAAGGCAATGTCTACTGATAAAATATATATTCTTTTATCTCAGTGTTTCAGGTCAATAAAATCAAAATTACTCTCCACAAAAAATTATTATTTCAGTTAATATAAAAGTTATTTCCTTCTAAAATCATACAGAATGTTGATTTTCAGTATTGTTAAATTATGAAAGTAATCTAAAGTATCTCTTTTATTTAAGTGCATAGCCGTGGAAATTTTTTATGTATTTAAAAGGGTATTCAACCTGAAAATGTTACCCCGACGTAAGAAGTAAACTATTCATAATCATGACACAATTATATTTTCATACAAATTACGAAAGTTTTATAGTTAAGTATGGAGTAAAAAAATAACCAACAATTTGATTGCTAGTAATTTACTTTCAAATTTATCTCAGAAGAGATGAAGAACCTCGTTTTTCGTATATGCTTCGTTATTTTTCCTTGATTTAAAATGGAACTAAAATGAGTATTTCAGTCTCGTTTGTATGCAAATTCTATGTAAATAACAATGAGACTTGTACTCAGGAATTGTATACTGTTAAGAAGAGTGGAGTTGAAATCGTTAGGCAGTTAGGTATACTGATTTTTCAATACATTTTTTGAATAATGTTTCAAGTACAGAAATATCTATTAATACTATGAAATTGATAATGTGAAAATATGACAGTGTTCCTGAAGCATTAGTTTGTTAGTACTACCGTATATACAATCTGCAACCGTATATTATCAGTTTTGTCACGTAGCGTTATAGAATGTGAAAAGTTAACAAAAGAAACAAACAAGATATAATTTTTGATGCATTTTGTTTCTGTTTTTACCTTACTAATATATTTTAAGTGGACTGATTATAATATATGGTAACATTTAGACTCTTAGAACAATTGCCTTTGATATTCCAAAGTATTGATAAGTTCTAAAAATAGAAAAAAAGCATCTTTTAATCGACTAACTAAAATTCATAATATCACAGTTAGTTTAGATATTTTGATCAAGTTCGACTAGATGACTATGTATATTTATTTCTTTTACTCAGTCATAACATTGCTAATCATGTCTGATGCAAGTAATTTTCTGAATATTACTTATCTAAACTTTCGTTTTTGAATTAAATAAAAAAACTCCTCAAATCAAAATACCAGGATTAGATTTCAATAAACGTCCCGAAAACTAAATTTCAATTAAAAATACGGAATGGAATTTACTAGTATTCTCGTCGCTAACAGTCTACATCGATTCTAATCATGATCCATTTTATATTGCATAATATATGTTTTAAAAAAATATCATTATGAAGCTTTTATGTATCCGTTAATGTGTATTTATTTTAATATGTTTACTTCACTTTTCATGGAAAAGTAAAAGAATAAAAATAACTGCCATATGTTCACTTACTGTATATAATAAAACACCATGGTGGTAGAGTGCAAACGCTTTATAAAATCAGATGAATAAATAATGTTTTGAATGGGCATTACTGAATGATAAAAGCAATATTGAAAATAAGAAGATCCGTCACAATATTTGAATAGCTAAAATATAGATAACCAGAAGATTTCAAATGACCATTTTTTTACAGTCACACTATATAAATGCATATACATATAAGGTCTAATGAAATGTTAAATACCTTTTAATTTCAATATTTTTTTTATTTCAGCGCACGAAAAAAACGAAGGTAAGTCCGAATTCTGAAAAAAGTAGTTTATTAGTTTGATGTGATAAAAGTTCACTTACTGGTAAACATTTAATAAAAAATAATAAAAGTTTATTGCATGTTGCAATGAAAATTATCTGCATACCCATAGCAATTTATATCCTTATCCTGCGCCTTATGACATATATATATATATACTCCTAAAGTAATAATCGTCTTCATAAATACTGAAAGCAAACTTTTAATTCTTCTGTAGATCTAAAAATAATCAATCTTGTATGTAATTTTAGAATTGGCATTACACATCTATTGAGGGTAAAAATAAAATGAAGGTTTAAATCACTTTTGCGTAAATATGCGTTAACCTGACCTAATCATCTATAATCAAAGTAACGATAGGTAAGGGAGAATATGAAAAGTCAGATAAATGTTCTTTAGGATGAATGGTATGAAAAGTTCGTAGGTAAACATGTTGAAATTGTTAAGGTTAGCATAATTGTGTCTAAAATTCAGAGAAATAGATATTAGCAGAATTCAAATTGTTGGGCTAAATTTTCATCAATTCCATTTTTTAACACGTTAAGTTCAAAATAAACAGAAATATTTCAGATATATCTTCATTCTTTGGCTGAAATAGCAAAGATTTTCAGTCGTATCTAGTCACTTCAAGACAATAAAAGAACGGAAAGTTTGGTCATATTCAGCTTTTTGCCGAAAAAAGGCATGGTTTACTCACAAAACTCCTTCAAAGTAATCTATACCAATTCAATTCTTGTATAAATTTTATCCTAAGTATTTAAAGGTATAAAAGCGGTAATCCACTACATTTACTGAATAATTCGGTGCCTCAAGATGAAATATATTTTTCCCAGACATTATTCCTAATTAGAAAATGTTAATACAACAAAATAATAAATCTATTTTCGATTATAAGTATGAAGCTCAAAGAAAAGCATTGAAATCTTAATCGAAAATCTTTTAATAATCTGCCAACGCTTTTTAGTTGAATAAAATAATACTATTCATTACTGAAAAACAACTAGTTACATTTAAAAAAAATAGTCTAATATTGAACATCAGGAATTTTTCGATTACATTGAAATATTCAAAAAGCGTAAAGAGTGAGGTGTTTACCTACTAAATTTTGCTGACTTCTAGATGAATATTAAACATTGAAAGTCATGAAAAAGAATTATCCCTGTTGCTACATCGTTCAGTAGCAAACGGCATTAAATAATATTTAGAAAAATCAGAATATTTAGTGACGTGGTAATACATCGAGAAAATGTCTTTTATATAGATGGTTTTTCAATGATTGTTTAAATAACCAAATGTCGGTGTTTTTTAAATCTTACACAAGCTAAAGCAAGGATTTCAACCTATTGAAATTGACAAGATAAATTCTAACAATCCACCTTTTAATGCAAAATTCTCTCATCGTTAGTACTAATTGGCCTAATATAATCAAGTTGTCTTAGTACTATACAATAACAGCTACTATTCGCCTAATTGAAATTATATCTGAATATGAGTTTAAACAAACTTACGATTACTCTGTGACATATTTTAAGTCATCAATACAACCGAAATTACTATATCTAATTAATTCTTATTGTAATCAAAAATAAAAAATATTAGAAAATTCTCCTGTGGATTTATTACCTGTTTCAATTTACCGTTTTATGCAGGACTGGCTGATTACAAATTTTATGGATAAAATGGCCTTTGACTAATAAATTCCACACACAGTTATGTTCTTAGTTAAGCGTCACGCCCAAGAATTTATTCCGGTTTATTTACTTATTTAATTAAAAGGAAAATGAATAAATGTTTGTTGTGATGCAGTTAATGTTTATTGTAGAGTTTCTCTAATTCAGTTATCATCAACTAATAAACAAACTGTTCTAAATAACAGTTGACAAAAACGCACTCTTGTCTGTTCCGATAAACTCAATCTTTTCTTTGTTATCATGAGATAAAGAATCCCTAAAAAAACTAGTCATTTCAATTAATTTAAGAGTTATTCTCCTTTCTGGTTGTCTGAAGAATGTATAGACAAGAAATAACTTTAAATTTACCCAAGAGATGAATACAAACAACATAGGATCTGACAAAAATTTGTATTTTATAATGGCCTTTACTATTCACATCAGCCAAGCGAGAGAAAAACAAAATGAAGAAAGCCAATTAATTAGAATACAGATCCTTAAATCGACAGAAATCTAGAAAGGAAAAGCATGAAAAGAAACGAAAGATATAAATTGAATATATATTAATATTCAAAGTTTTGAAAAGGATTATCAGTGAATAAGTTTATCAATGACTTTGAGTCATTTTACTCAGTGATTATACCTTGAATTACAGCTCTTAGCCATATCTTGTTTCAGAAGCTTATCTACCCTTACACTGTCCATACCAGAACTCAGCGATTACATTAGCCTTGTTGAACCATGTTCAAAACTATTTTTAATGATTTTAATATTGATTAGCACAAAAATAATAAAGCAAACAATGTCCAAATAAATTCAATTTCTCAGAAGCATCCACTGATTTGGCCGATACTTTGCTTGTAAAATGAGTATCTATTCATCACTGAGTAAACACTTGTAATCTTAATAAATCATCTATTATCAGCGGTCAATTTTTTCATCGAGAAACTCGTCAAGCGTCAATAACCTGAATTTTTAAAGACCAATAGACCTGTGTTTAAAAAAAATAGACGGGTACATAAAATGAATCCATTTTCATCTTTTGAAGGACAGTAACAAAACGTCAGTTTTACAGAAGTAACTTGCTTGAAATATTTAAGCTGGTTATATAGTGTAAACGCCGAAAAAATAATCACACAATATGATTATTAACAAGATAATGGCGTTGAAAATGAAAATTAGTCACCGTTAAACCATATTTTTTAACGTCGACACTGATTTTAGTAATTCGAAAAATATCTAACTAATTTAACATTAAGCTATTCATTTTAAACTAATACAGTAATAATTTAGATTTTACTTAGAACTTTTCCCAAACTATCACATAATCTCAGTTAAATTAATGTTTACTGAGGTAATGGGTTTTGCCTACTGAGTGAAGACCTGTGCACTTTTATAAAGACATTGTTGTGAATATCCTTTTTAATTAAAGACTAAATGCAACCCATGAAATCACTTAGGTAAAGTAGTTGTGATCTGTTGATTAACAATGGCTATAGTACAAATAAGCAGCAGTCGAAGTCCATAAAATAATTCTGAATAAAGTTCTAATATTTTTCGTAAAGAAATTTTAGCGTGGGCGTGTAAACATGAATTACAACGAGCCAATGAGTCACTAACTGAACCAAAAGTCAACGCCTACGCTAAAACGACAAATTATAATCAACGTATTCAATAGCAGATCTTTCCAAATAGTATATCTGCAAAGTTCATTATCTGTAATCATAATTTCAAAATATTTATGCGTAGATAAATCGAATATCTATTAGTGACAATATTCAATCGAGTTATAATTGAACAAGTATCGATCCTACATCTTTACTAATTATTCACTAAATCAAGTATGAATTTAAATATGTAGTTGCTTCTATAAACCATAATGTTTGGAATATCTCTACAAACTAAATACAAGTTCATAGTATCATCTGACTATCATTCCACAATGTGCAACTAATACTTTGAAGAAATCTATGATCAAAAATATGCAACCTGCTTTCAAAATCTATGTTTTACGAGCACAAAAATAATATAGAATGAACTGCAGCGCAGTATGCATGCCTTTTAGTTGACTGGTGGACTCCTTACCTATGTCACGAGCGACTCATGTTGACAAAAACCGTGAGATTTTCCAATCCATGTCAAAATTTCGTTAGACACTAACCCGCCTGAGATTACAAAGCTTTTAAGATAAATGAGGTGTTCTACTCACTCGACTATTTCCATTACTACCAATAATTCCGATGTTAATGTCCTGATGTAACATTACACATTTGGAGAAAGAGAAATGCAATATTAAACATGCCATCACTGTTCCTCAAGACAATCAAAAGGCTGAATTTTTTCAGCATCTTCACCAAATGGGAATATGTCTTCTGTAAGAGATCGACCCCTGAAGGGTTAAGTGACGGAAATGCTGCTTCCAGGAGGACATCTGTGACAAAATGTATCCTAATGCTCCTATCCATCTACTGAAAATCTAAAATATACAAAGATTCGATTTAATTTGGCCAAACTTCGTTCATTAAAGTTAAGTAAACAAAAAAATTTGATATCGCAATCGGTGGACATGAAACATTGTCTATTTATAAGTAATTAATTAGAAAAGTATTAGAATTTTTAAAAAACAATATAGTACTACGAGTAACGACATTGTTTTTTACTCGGCCGATTTGCGGTACAAAATTTTATTTCCGTCTTTTAGTAAACTTTTTATTAATATTACTATTATTAATAACATTATTATGCTGCATTTACTAGACTTAGAAATATTTTATCCCATAACTTTTAAGCAGAAATTGTCAATTGTAAGGTCGTTCTTGAAACCTCCGTGAATTAACTAAACTAATTCTATGTATAATGTGACTACTTTGGTAGAAACAGTACCATTAGACTTCACTTTCCACTAAAGTTAAGTTCCATTAGTTGTATACTTTTAATTGAGGTATGCTTAAAAGGTGAGTTCCGTGACTCTGTTGTTAGTGCAAAAAACCAATAATCTACGGGCTTGAAATTAACTACAACTCGGATTGCTGTATTTACTTGCATCGTATATCCGACAAGAAAGCAAAGTCAACAACGTAATAATCTAGTAACAAAAATACATAAATCCTTTATTTAATTACTTTACAGAGAAAAAGAAAATTACCAAGCTGAACGATTGCCACCGAGAACATGTTTATCTAATCGAATTAATCGAAATAACATGGTTTGCGAAAGTAATCGTGCAATGATGAATAGGAATAATAATGATAGTAATAATCCAAACGATGAAATTGATGTGAACAATGTTACACCGTATGCTAGTTTTGTTAATCTAGCACCAGGACAGGTAAATATGTAATTGAATATTGAAGAACTACTAATTATTTCATTATTTTTAAGATGAAGACTGAAACAAATTATCTACGAAATAATCAAACAACTCAATTTTCGATAAATTAATATTATTTAAGTATCACTTTAAACTGATTGTTTTGTCACCAATTTGAATATTTAGCTAGTAAAATAAAACATTCAATTAATCTGAAATGAATATTCATCTTAGTTGAGAATAAAATAGTTATATACAGTATAATCCCGTTTAATGTCTGCATTTAACACCTAACATGCACTCACTGAACAATTACTAACTAACTTACCTATGCCTGTTAACAGTCGAAGAAGAACATCGGCCGCCCACCAGCATTCTTTAATCAACTCCTTCCTGGGCATTCCTTTCCAGTCGTTTCAAGATGCTATCCATCCTATTGGTACCTGATTCCGATTCTCGGCGCAGTGTGTTCTTTGGTCTTCCTCTTTTCCTTTTCCTTTCAAGATTCTAAGTTAGGGCCTGCCTCGTGATGCAGTTTAGTGATTTCCGCCTGTAGCTCTTCTAGGGTTACTGCTGGTCCCAAGCCCACACAAAGATGGGGGGTTGGGCATGGGGTCAACAATCTCAGCCTTGCTAAAAAACGCTAACCAGAATCAGTAAACAATACCTAAATTTACTAAATATTTAAATATATTTGAGTCCATGTATTTATCTTAAGCACCCATAAGTACTTATTAAGCATAGGAATGACTGACAGATCATAGGATACAAGTTTAAAGGTTGAAAATAAATAAAGGACTTGAAATAATTGAGGGAAATGGAGGGATGAGTTAGTAAATTAAGAGTTACTGAGTAGGGACCAGTGTCTTATTTATTTAGTCTTTTATTGCCGATCGAATTCTATAGACCAAGTTGTAACTTGGTCACAAGTATGAGACACTCCACACTTTATGGTGAAATGTTAAGTAGTTAAAGATAGTCAAAAAACTCAAAGTGAATGTTTTGTTCCATTCGGCAATCATCTCAGAACGGGCTTACCGATACTCTCGATGAAACCTATACTTCCATGCGGCATTCTAAATCGAATTACACAACGTAACAGTCAAAAACGTTGTTACTGAGCTAACCGGGCAGCGAACGATCATCTCTATTCATATTTCACCAATTTCTTCTTAATAGGTTTAACGACATATATTACTTGTTTTCTGGGCTATCAATTTTCCAAGAACATGGTAAAGAGTGTATTGAAGTGTAAAATATGGAAATAACTAGACTCTTCCCTTGATGCAAATAAAGCTTTGTCACAAGCAATCTTCTGTTGATGAATTATTGAGAATCAGGAAGTACTGGACAACCGTATCACCCTAATTAGCAACCAGTGACCCAACAAGAAACCCTACATGTCTTTCACTGTTATTGTTAATATTGTCAATGTTATCTAATTTAATGTTTTGTCATCTACATCTTTTGAAGTACAGTTCCCATAAAAAACATTCCATGAAACTTTCGTCATATTACCTCTTTTATTCGCTTTAATAACCATAGAAACAAGTTTATATTTAACGGCTATTTAAATTACATATAACTAAGCATACACCTGGCTATCAAATGTAATTATATACATTATCATAAACAAGAAGTGAACACTTTCATGCTGTTTATTTGTTACTTTTTTATGATGCATCCGAATACTTATTTGTTTTTCCTTTCATTACTGAGTTCAGAATATTATTTGATTGAATTTAAGGGATAGATTTCACTTTATTGTTACAACAGCAATAATAGCACACACTGACTTACATATATATCATCAATGAAACTATTTCACCAAAAAAGTAAACTTCTATCTAGAGATCAGTAGGTTTTAACCTGTTTAATAGTAGTTTAAAAATTTTATTGCTTGTCACGTGTTATTCAGTACGTTTCTAATGTTTTGAACGTTTTATCCCAGGGTACTCAAAATATTTTAAACGAAAGTAAGGGATTTTATTTCTTGTGGGAAAGTGTTGTGCGATTTTTGTTGTTTGGTAATTTGCTTTGTACTACTGCACCAAAAATATTGTTTCCAAGCACCCTATATTATACCACTGTATATATATGTATATATTGAGAAAGAGATGATCATTGGTCGATTATTTAATGTCGTAGAATATGCAAACAAAAGGGTCCAAACACTTCAGTTCTCGCGGTGAACATATATATATATATATATATATATATATATATATATATATATATATATATATATATATATATATATACTGAAATGAATGCACTGGTACACATTTTCAACTAGCTGTAGGGCAGACAATACAATCCATTTGGTAATAACGGTTTCAATAGTTTATATTGGTAAATCCCAACAATCACAACTTCCTACTAAAAACTCAGGAACTGATTGAAAAGCTAGTTACTAGTGAGCTTACGACTATTGCTCAGTGGAATGAGTTGGAATGATTAGTTTAATTCTGCTGAAGTCCAAGATATGTTAAATTGAATAACAGCCCAATGATTTCAGATATAGCTTGATGACTGTAAGAACAGAAGAGTCAGTATTCAATTTCTCTATAAGTTCTGAATTCCCACTCCTGGGATGTTGTAGACTACGACAAAAATTATTCCGTTTATTAACAACTCTCTAATGGATACCATTTGGTGGCCATAACTATTTCCAAACTTAACTAGTTCTCACAAACAATTATTTAACTACGAATTAACGGAATAACATGTATAGCAAATCAAAGAAAGAAAACTACACGTACAATAGTAAATAGATTGTGGAAATAATGGACCCTTATAGTTTGTAATTTTTAGAAGTTTTTCCAAATATCCACTCTTTATTTTTTAACCACTTGGACAGTTGAACTAGATTAATTCAAATAAATAAAAGTATGTGCAACACCATGTAAATTCATATTCAAATACACTTATATTCATCATTGAATACCATGGATAAAAGAGATATTCACCGAAAGTTTCTTACTTATCCATTGTTAAACTATACTAAGTACACTTATTAATAAATTTTTGAGTAGTAAAATAGATCTTTCTGTACAGTTTTTAAAACTGGAAAAAGTTAACTTTAATCGAAGCCTATTAGTTTCCAATCCTTTCGCAACTTTCTTCTAATTGCTCAACTTATCCACTATTGCATTTCTTGATGTTAATAATTTAAATATTTCTTCATAATGGTTATGGTTTCCTAGTTTTTGAGTGTTGTACAAATACTATTAGTTATTCAACGAAGCATGTTCTTAATATAACATACAAAGCTGTGTTTTTACGAACTGATAGTTTCTAGTGTGCTTGCTTCACTCTCCAAAGAGTAGTGAAGATGAAGTTTACACCTCCCACTCTTGCACTTATACAATAGTTCTGGTGAGCACTGATTTGCTGGGTTTTTTTTAAGGTGAAGGGGAATATGACTTATAACACAGCTTGTTTTGATTAAATGCTGATATTAGCTGAGTAATTTATACAAAGTATGAAGTAATTTTGCCCTAATATCCGATTTATCAGTAGTACGTACATAATACTCAGCCTGATTTTGAACCTAGAAACTTCAGATCTCATGAAAAACGTAGTGAACATTCCCAACTTCAGTCAAGTTGAGTTGTAGTGTGAACATTTACTCTCACTGGTGGGTAACTGTTTCATTATGAATATGATTTATCACCACAAGTCGCGACCGAGTGTGTATTTAGTTTAACCCTTTTTGAAAAATAATAAATAAATGAAGTGTACTAGTCATTCGTTATTCGTAGTAATTTTCTGCATTGCAAGGTATAAATCCGATTTTTATAGTTAACCTCGTCAATTCTTATGAAATCCATTCATGTATTGCAAACATTTTTTATCAGACTGTTATTATGGTCATAGAATACAGAAAATATTTTAAAATGAGTTCACTCTTTAGTCTCAATTAATCAATAAAAACTGCTGAACTCATATTTAAACACCGATATTCTTCAGCTGGTATAGACCTTGTACAATACGAGAAATATCAATAAACCATTGTAAACTGAATATCCCAAAGAAGCTGAAATCCACACATAACTTCTTTTTATCGATTTTCGACACAAACTCTCTTCAAACATAAATGTAAAGTGATAATTGTATTTAAATGGTCAAAAATATCAATACATGTACGGTTTATTCCTTCAAAGCCATAGTTTTTTACTTAAACGAACTCATTCATTAAATTATTACACTACATTATTTAGTTTAATCTAGCGAAGATTTATAAAAATGTAAACTAGCTACACTAGATTTCATGTTTGTTGTAGTGCACATACAACAATTATGAGCGTTTACAAGTTGTAGAATACATTGTCTGGTTTATCGACTGTATAAAATCTGGATTGCTTCCTAGCCTATTGAATTTGATTTGACAAAATCAACTGTAACTCGAAAGTTGCAAATCTGGCGTTTAAACGAACGAATTGCACAGATCCATAGGATAATATAATTAGAAACGTGAAAACAAAATTTATAGATCCAGAGTACATGTCCAGTGGTAATAAATTTCATTCAAATTCAAAAGTATATATGTTCCTCATAATGAAAACATTTTAATTATCCTAATAACTTTCAACAATAATTTACATCATATTTCTATAAATTTATTACAGACACAAGGATACTCTACTTCGCAATCGTTTAGTGTATACGAAAATGTTGGTTGGGGTGAAGAGTTCGACTCATCTAAATATGATTTAAATGATCCGATGTCCACATATACTTACGAAACAGAAGGTCAAGCTCATTTAGTTGAAATTGATAATTCAACTGAAACATACTTAAATAGGAATACAATTGATGATAAAGAAACTTCTTATTCAGAATATGGTTTATTAACTGAAAGATCAGTAACAGCACAACCGGTATTGCCTAATCAACGGGAAACGATTGCTTAACAAAGAAATATCCATAAAAAAAAATTAGTAGATATATACGTTCAATTTACTAAGTCAATTTACAATACTTTTCCTAAAATTATTATACACATGAAACTTGGCTACATATCGAAACATTTTTTTTTAATACAGATACAACTAATCAATTTATTTCTTGTAAAAACTGTCTGAAAAACACTTCTTAAAGCACAAGTTAGTAATCACCATCATCGTGATACAACAATTATTTTAATTTGCTTCTTTCGAGAAAGTTAAATAGTAAGAAATAAGCCATTTCCTTCCTTGTATAATATTCAATAATAAATGATATATGAATATTCTTAAGTTTTGTTTTGCTTCTATGTTTATCTTCCCTGTTTCTTATTTTGCGTTCTGACTTCATTTTAATAAATTCTATTATTTAACATTATCAAAGTTTAGATAAACTGGTTAATTTATAAGTTTCCTTATGATTTCATTCTATTTCATTTTGTTTACAGAAGACAAAATACTATTGATTAGATTGAAACTGGAAATAAATAATTAATTAAAAATGAAAAGTATATTATATTTTAAAATCTTTTGATTTGCACTTCATTTTTTAAACAAACTACACAAATCACTATTGTGTTTCTGTATGAATAAATGTATGTACAAATAACAGACAGGTTTATTCTTGACATTGCATTCATCTTATGCAATATTTCTATATTTATATAAATTCACACTTCATTACTAATAAACTGTAAAAAAAAATAAGAGTTAGAAACAAAAGAAAACGTCTTTCATTATAATATAAACTGCCTTCTGTTCTGTACTGTTTCTTTTAGTCTAATTATCGAATAGGGTTTATGGTAAATAGATTTTGTGTTTAAAAGTAATTTGTATTGTTTTGTGTACTGTAAAACGCGAAGTTACCATTTTCAGATTATTCTCATTACGAATCGCCATTGAAAGTATATAGGATCATATATTTGCTTTGCTTTTTTTCATGTTCAGGTATTTATTGATTTTTAGCTGATTTTAGACTGCGATTTAAAATATGCTTGATAAAATGTATTATCATAAAAGCTTAATTCAATGGTAATCCACCTCGTTATAGGCTTGTTTTGAAATGAGTTTGACAAGACTTAGACCGGTAATCTCCCTCCCTAAAGTCTAATAAATTTAAAGGAAGTTGTGTATACATCGATTATATTCGGTAATGACTGTGTTCCGTTGCTAACTGACTGAAGTTGAAAAAGCTGACCACTGTATTAAGCAACCGAGTAATATCCTACAAACTGTAAGGACCGGAAATCCTGGATTTATCCCTGAATAAGCATCGCTGGTGTAATAGACTCTACGATGGAACAGTTTTCCAGTACTTGACTTTCAAGAGTAATCTAGTTGACATCAGTGGATTTTTAAACGAACCTTTACATTGAAAGAACATTAAAACAAACATAATCAAACCAGAAATTCCACGACACGTTATACATTTACACACTCATGTTATGTTTTCTTATTTTGTTCAAGCAAAGTGTTTGACGTTTAAAATCATTAATGTACTAGCGATCCTGAACCTAAACTATTTGTGTTTACGATCGCCGAATGCAACCTTTAATATTATCAAATTCTAAACATCACTTTCTTGCGCGTTTACCAACAAGTGCTATATTTCACAGCTTCAGAAAAGCAAACAGATGTACTACAATAATGTAGACTTCAAATCCGCATATAGTACAAGAAACATGCATCATGGCTATCTTTACGTATTCTCATAGCTTTTTATATGAGCTTGACATAATTGTTTCATTATTTTTATTTCTCCTGAAACTAAGAATTCACAAGAACAAGAGTGATAAAGTGAGCCGATGCGATGATTAGTTCATACTGAGCATTTCTCTACTTCATATGGCCTCATTTGCTTTTCAAAAACTCATTCCACTAACTGTATACAGAAATAGAAAACGAAATCAATTTAAACACGTTGTTCAGTACACATAAAAATTTCCTGGTAAGTCATCAAAGGCCTCAAACTACTGTGAAAAGGTTGAAAAAGTAACCAAACAAACAGTGCCCGATTGGGTAATTTAGTACCAAAACCACTTTTATGATGTCAGTCATCCAGATTTTATTAATCAATTAACTTAAGTACATGTGGATTACGCATTATGTTACAGTGGTTCCATTTAAAAGACATATACCACACTTTCGGAAATCTTGTCTGGATTGTATAGATCATGAGTAAAAATAATTTTGTTAATTGATAGGTAATATGTATGACGAGCAATGTCTTAAAAAATCTTTCATAGATAAGGAGCACCAACAAACTATCAGTCAGAATCGCCTGAAAAAGAGTACCCGCTTAGTTCCCAATTAATGTTATGGATAAGATTCCTATACTCAGCTTCGTACCACACTGGTTTTGTGAGGGGCAGTGTATTTACTATCCAACTGTTCAAACATATGTAGATGAAGAGCAGTTCGAACATCTGACTCAGCGACTGAAACCTGAGTGGCTTCAACATTATGAAAAATTTGCAAATGTTACCCAGACTATAAATAATAAAATAAGTATTTTTCAAATTCCAACCAACTTCTTATTATTATATAGATGACGAGATAAATGCTACATGTCTCCAACATTGAAATTACTGATTTTTCATAAAGTTTTAAGGGATACATTTTGACGAAAACAATCAACAGGGTTGTTAGAGAGAAAAACATTAAGCTACGATAACATAGTGGGTTTCTCTGTTTCCAAACAATAAAGACTATGATGTTGTAAAACTAATGGTTCTTCCAGGATACTGCGAACTTATTGTGACTGAGTAGTTTACAGCATATAGCTTTTTCTCTATTGAATTATAACTGGATACGTTTCGGAGTACGGGTAGTTATTGTATGCTGCTGACATCCAACTACCGTTTGTATAGATTCAATTGGGTACCATTTGGTGTGGATTTACGCGCTCTTTTATCTGTATCACTGACTGCAAGCTATCTGATAAGAGCTTCCTGACTTTTGCCATCATGCATCCATTTTTGATTTCAGCACGAAACCCATCAGTCGTATTATCGACGGTAATTGTTTGGAATTAGAAACTGATAAGATGGGTTACGTAGCAACTAACCAGGATTTGAAGAGTTAACATAACTTTTGAGAATTAAGTGAATGAAAAAACCGATGAATAAAGGGATGATTTTGCTGTACACAAAATAAGAACTAGTTTGGCCAAGACCATAAAACAAAATAAACACTAATAAAGTAATGATAATAATAATGACAATAACGAAAATAATAGTGATTTACCAAGGATTGAGTTTCTTTATTACTACTGCTTCAGTAAACCGGAGACGCGGCGTTTTTGTCCGCTGATAATTCTGAAGGATTGTGTACTGTCAGTGGTGTGTTTAGTATCAATCAAATGCCCAGCTATTGCGATATATAAAGCCGTAGAGCCTTTCAGTCTTAAATTGTTTGAAACGTGCTCGGAAATGCGAACCTATACACCTCTCTCTGTTCTCCCGATGTATGCACTTTGGTACGTACAATATAAATTGTTAAACTCAGTTGGAGGTACTGAGAAAAGTGGATCTGTCAATTTTTGTACGTTTGAGTGAGCAGTTCATCTAACATAATTTCGTCAATCCTGCCGATAAATAAGCAACCTTCATCGCAGCATATATCCCAAGTTTCATCATTTCAGTTATTTCATTTCCTTTGAAACGCAGATATGGAAAACAGGTTTACTTTTCTACTGTATCTCATTTAATACATCCGTTGGTTTTCGCATACTTCTCAATGAATTTCGCTGGATATGTATTTCTACGCAGGCGAGTTGTAATAAAGGCAAGTTCTTCTTTCAGGTTTTCCCTTGAGCAAGGTTTTCGAGCGTAATCAGAAACGGTTCGTACAATCCCATTTTTGTAACTTATTGGACAGCTGTTGTAATTTAGATAAACTTCAATCCATGCACTTTTGCGGTGGATATGTCTTCGCAGGATGCCATCTGAAGTTCGCTTGATTCCAACATCTAAGAAATGGAATTTACCTTCCACTTCATGTTCGATAGTAAAACCTATGGTTGTATGTTGTGTTAAACAAATTGAGTAGGTACATATAATGCTTCCGACTCTTGCAGACAAGAAATGTCTCATTAGTGTTTACAATACAATGTATTTCCTTGAGTTGTGTGCGTAAGCTTCATCTGTTTAAGGTTCCCCATAAATATATCACCCAGAATTAAGCCCAGGGGGCTACCTATGGATGTTCTATCAATTCTGTGTGTTTCAACAAAGTTACAAACACAAACTTCTTACATCTAATTAACTTTAAGCAGGTAAAGGAAAAAGACGCAAGGTGGGAAGTTCTATTAACCGACCATTGACAAGTTCATGTCTGTTTAGTGGAAAGATAACCCACAGAGAGTATATATAGTAGTAAGCTTTGAATAGATTATTCAGCTACCCAATGTAAAGTAATCATGTTGGGATTTGTTTTGACATACAAACTTGACAAGACATATTTGATCGTAACTGTTTCGAAATTAACTTATCATGAGAATAGCAGAATGGATTGACAAGTCAGATTTCCATCCAGTATTGTTAATTTAATGATTACAGTCTTCGTAATTTACATCACGGACTGATTTCACTTAGCCAACAACTACAAACCAGAAAGTTCTGGTAAGCTGTTTCGTCTTAGTATGGAGCTCTTCATCAGTGCATAGTCACAACTCCAAAGGCGATCGAACTCAAGACCCTTAGTTTTGCGACGAACGCTTAACCCTCAGATCACTGAGGCGGCATTCAGTTAGGTGTCTGAATAATTAGATAGTGAAATTTCTGAGGGTAAATAAATGTCTTTAACGTCCGTGCACGTGTACTGACAAGCACAAAATATGCAACTACTGCCCGATAACCTCCATCCATCTAACATCAAAATCAATAGACTATAAAACTGAATAAAACTTTGATCATAACATTGTAAACTGGCTATTCGAAATACAGTTATCAGCGAATAAACGATACGGCTCTTGATACTGACCAGTGACCGACTAAAGAATCATAAACTGAGGTTACAGAGTGATAGGATAGTGAAGACGGAAAAAATATAAAAAAAGAAAATATATGTAACACTACACTACTCAGAAAACGAACTATCAACCATTTCACATACTCTTTAAGGTGCACTGTAGTAACACTGAATAACCTAAGAAGTTATTTAACTGACCAGTTTCTCGCCAACACTTATTTTTGAGCGATTAAATCTTGATTTACATAAGACTTTATTCACCAGAAACTAGATTTCATGTACCAAATAAGTAACTCAAAACAGCTAATCAGTAATAAATATATGCACAAAGTAAAAACGAATTTCTATTTAAAAATAATAATGAATATTTACAACCAAGCAAGTTCTTGTTTATCTATTGAAAATTCATTGGTTTGTTGTCCAGAAAACTTCATCATATTGTCTTTTTAAATTCAACTTCCAATTATCCTCAACTGAGTAAAAGTCAAATAAATCACTCCCATCTAAAGGAATACAACGAAATAAGCTTTTAAGTACCGATTTTTTTAGCTAAACATTCTACAATTTCAGTCAGTCAGTCAGTAACAACGTGGAACTTCGTACGTACGTACATCAGTTCGAGTTGCCATACCACATTAGCACAGAGATTCAGTTATCGATTCAAATCCCATAGTGGTAGAGGTACTGAAAGTATAAGTAGAGATAGGGGACATTAAGGTTTGATGATGTTATTAAAGGAGTATAGTCCAGTGGAATAAATTGGGAAAGGACATGAATAATTCAGAAGATTAGAGTTTGAGAGAACACAAAGAGTGGATGCACCTGCGCCATTGCAAACGATTTTGAGCCATGTCATTCAAGGTCTCTAACCATCGGTTGCTATCATCTCGCGGTCCCCAACCAGGTAGTCTACACCTACCAACATGACTCAATCCACTTGTCAGTGACTTCATGGATTTGTGCCATGTTTTGGTCTGGCCGCCCCTAGCTTTCTTCCAACCTACTCCTACACCATAAAACATAGCACGTCGGGGCAGTCGGTGGTCGGGCATGCGCAACACATGTCCCAGCCATCTCAAATGATTGAGTTTCACTACTTCATCAATTGATTTGCCATCCTTACCTAGTACCCGTTTCCTAACAACTGAGTTACTTACTCGGTGGTCCCAGGATATACGAGCAATGTTTCGAAGACATCTATGATCAAATACTAGTAACCTACGAATATCCTCTACTCTTATCGGCCATGTCTCACTGCCATAAAGTAGGACGGAACGAACTGCTGCGCAGTAAATACGTCCTTTGGTTGATAGACGGATATCTCGCCTACGCCACAAATGACGCAAGTTGGCAAAAGCTAGTCGAGCCTTTTGTATCCGTGCTGAGATTTCGTCACACACCAAACCACAAGGGCTGATGAGACTTCCGAGATAAGTGAAGCGGTCGACACGCTCAACTACTTCACTCCCTATCACTAGTTCCGGTGTCGACGCAACCCAATCCTGAAGTAACATTTTGCATTTCGAGGGAGAGAATCGCATGCCGAACAGGCTTGCATTGTTGCTTAGAGTGGTCAACAGACTCTGCATTTTGTCAGCGTCTTCACCAAATAGAACTATGTCATCGGCATATTCTAAGTCAACAAGTGGATCTCCCGGTAGAAGTTCAACTCCTGGAAATTTAGATGAGGAAAGTGTCATCTCTAAAAGGACGTCAACGACAAAGTTAAACAAGAATGGAGAGAGTGGACAGCCCTGACGAACACCACTTGAGGTAATCAATTCTGATGACAGTTCACCATAAGCTCTCACTCGACCAGTTGTGTTCGAGTAGAGAGCCTTTATAAGGTTGACGTACTTCTTTGGTACTCCCTTCAGTGACAAACATTGCCATAGAACCTAACGATCAACAGAGTCAAATGCCGCCTTAAGGTCGAGAAATACTACCATTGTGGGGCGTCTGAATGTGTGTCTATGTTCTAGGACCTGACGTAATGTGAATATTTGATCAATGCAACCACGTCCAGGTCGAAAACCAGCCTGGTTTTCTCTAGTCTGCTCTTCACGAGCTTTGGTTAGACGTCGAAGTATTATTGAAGCTAATATTTTAGACACTATATTAGTCAAACTAATTCCTCTGTGATTGTCACAGGAGGACTTTTGTCCTTTCTTATAGACTGCTACAATCAGTGATTGAGACCAGTCAGATGGGATTACGTCCAGTTCCCAGATTCTACCTAAGACCTCAGTCAATCTCGCTGCTAATACTGGACCGCCATCCTTAAAAATCTCAGGGGTAAACCTGTCAGGGCCTGCTGCTCTCCCACGCTTCAGATTTCCTATAGCTTTTTCAACTTCGTAAAGAGTCGGAGGACTTACATCAACTTGCCATTCAGGTCGACTGGGGATCGTGGGAAACCGAAGTGTGGCTGAAGGCCAGTTGAACTGATCCCTAAAGTATTCTGCCCATCGATCCAATCTCCTGGATTGAGAATGAATAATATGTCCATCTTTCTCTGCGATTGTTTCGCTAACAGTTGGGTTCCTAATACCGGTTTCCTTAACAAGTCTGAACAGTTGCCTGCTGTTACCTATTGCCGCTGCCTTTTCCATCTCTCTTGCTTTCGCTACCCACCACTGTTCACGATCTTTGCGTAGGCTTCTAGTCAGCTTACGCTTAAGCTGACTCCGCTCTTCGTTATGTTCAGAGCCAGATGGAATGAGTTTTCGAGCATCTATCAGTGCGGTAGATGCTGCTGAGATCCAGTGTTTCTCCCTAACCTTATGGTTTACCGTACTTGCCGACATCACTGCTGTTTCTACAGCTTTTCGGATGTCATTCCATGCTGCCTCGGGGTGGGTATCACTTACATGGCTGCCTAACTGTTTTTCTAGATGTTCCTGATATATACTCTTAGCTTGACTATCACTAAGTAGGACCCTAAGGGGTTTCCTTGCAGCATGTTTCCTACGTCCAGTAAGACGTAGACAAATACGCGCTCGCACTAGAGCATGATCTGAGTCTAAGCATGTGCTCCAGAATGAGCGACAGTCTTCTATCGAGCCCCTCCATCGGTGGCTGATAGCGATGTGATCTATTTGGGTCCAGCGTTGAGACGAATTAGGGGGTCGCCATGTCAAAAGATGTTTTTCCTTATGCTTAAAGTTAGTGTTTGCAAGAAACAGGCGGTTATCTGAGCATAGCTGCAACAGACGGTCGCCGTTATCTGTTCTTTGAGCCGCGACACCATAAGATCCACCCAGGTGTCTTTCCTTTTCGCTTGGTTTACCTACTTGAGCATTAAAGTCACCAGCCACTATTACTACATCTGAACGCCTAGCTTTTCGGAGAAGGTGGGAAAGCTTTCTGTAAAACTCACCTATTACATTATCTGACCTGCAGTCAGTGGGAGAGTAGGCAGAGACGACGAAGAGGCAACGACGAGTGTCCCTATCTTTTCGAATCCTTACTGTTCCGTTTAGTCGGACAGCACACAAACGACTGTCTACTGGGATCCAGTCTAAGAGAGCTAGTTCCGCCCTAGGACTCAATGCTATACCTACGCCAGCGAGGCCACGGGATGCAGCATCAGGGCTTCCAGATACACGAAGCGTAAATCGAGTTGGTTCGTTACTTTGACATGGTGCAGTCAAATGAATGACACTACTAGGATCCTGTGTGCGCGTTTCGGAGACGCAGCACACATCGATGGAGCGAGATTCTAAAGTCTTAGCTAAGGAAGCCTGTTGTCCTATTTGGCACAGTGTTCGGACGTTGAAAGCTCCTACGTGTAGTTTAGAGCGTGGTTTCAGGAGACCAGGAATAACATTCCGCGTACTCGAATCGTTCGCACTAGCGGGGCGAGGTGATAAAGGGACGTGAGAAGGGTTAGTCGTGGAGATAAGAGAGTCATTGAGAGGTGTAGGAAGGATTTGAATGTGACCAACTTGGTCTCGTGTGCTGTTACGGGTATGAGGGCTGATATCACTTCCCGGTTGCCCACACCGTGGAAGGGTATTTCTTGGGGGACCTGAAAAGGAAATCGGATTAGTGTTGGTCTTAGCGACCTGAGTGCGTGACCGCAGAGCCCAAGGGACAACTGCTTGAGGCCGGTCGCGCACGGCCTTTTTGTGGGAGGTTTTTAATGTGTTAGCTCCGTTCTTCAAAGGGCCTTACCGCCGGAGACGGAAATCCGTGGGGTAAGGTGAGGTGTGACATTTTTAGGGTCAACCTTTTCTAACCCCTTCCTTCCATGTGAGAAGGCAGCATCGCTGCAGATGCTGGTTGTCCGAGGGAAACACCTTACTGCTGTCACACCTCTGTATAGTTAGCAGTACGACTTCGCCCTCATACCTTGAGTTGCTGCTTTTAGTCTTACCGTTCTCCAATCGACCTGCCTGGCATGGTAGAACCTGCAGGAACTTGAGTTCCAGCCAATATAGCTCGGTTGGGTCATCACGATAGGCAAGCCCGACCACCACGTCAAGGTAGAAGCTACAATTTACTTAATTGCCAGTAAAATAGGATGTGGTAAATACAAATATGTGCCTGAAATGAAGTGAGAATTGTACCTATAAACAATTAACCTGTGAATGAAAAAAACTGCATACTAGTTACTTTGTTTGTGGTTTACGACTCTATCAACGTGCTTCAAATGTTATTGGTTAGATTGGACACAACTTGTGAACAATGATAAAAGCCAGCAAAATATGTATAAAGCTAAAAACATAAGCGTAGGTTACTTTCTTACCATATATTTCAAGCTAACTCATTTAGAGGTGATTTCTTATTTAACCTACAAGTACATTTCAAGGAATCACTCGACTATTCGAATTGCTTCGTTACCGAACGACAATATTTTGTTCTTTTTTCAAGATATATAATCGATAATTCTGCAATTTAAGTCAAGATCATTTGCTGATAACAAAACCGAGTCAAACAACTAACAATCACCAGACTTAGATATAAGTTTTCTACATTAAATTTAATTGACTACAACTTGATCTCACGAAAATTACTAGGAAAAACAATAAGATATGGATACTTACCTCCTCCCTGCAATAAAAACGTTTTAATCAGAGCATGTGCTGGAAGCGCATCGCGATAATTTTGTGCAAGATCAGATTTTTTGGGTGCATGTGAACTCTTTAGACTAGAAGACACTATTAGTTTACAGTTATGGCCGTGCTCAGTCTCTTTCGTAAAACTATGGATAAATTGACGAGTATCTTCTAGTAGATGAGTTAATCTAATGATGTATGATGAGTCATTATCCTAAAAAAAGCAGATTTAAACAAATATTATTATGCCTCAATGTGTCAACTAAGCAATTATCACCGTGTTCACAAAATAAAGTATTGTTAAAAGTCAATCAAGTAACCCGTGAAGGATTAATTAATTCTACGGTGAACTAAAAATAAGAAGAGAACCACTGAAAACAACGAGTGTCGGACATGTTCAGTCTTTAGCAGTAAGCAATCTAAGACTAGTGAATGATCGACGTTAAGAAATACACATGGATTAAGAATGAGCACAATCCTTAACTTTAATCAATTAGCAGATTATTTTATTAGACTTGTTGGAAACTGGCAAATTTAAAAATCGCAGGTAAGTGGCAATAAGAATATTTTACAAGCCATCATGTAAGTTGATATCTGTTATGATAACATCACAAGTATTAGGTTGAATCAGTCGCTGTGCCGAACGTAACAGACAATAATCTTTCCACGCAGACATGACAACCAGGTTGAATAGTATCCAACTCTAAAAGAGGCCACAAAAAACTCTCGAAATGCTATTCGATGATCGTCAATGACCGATTTCAAGCAACTATGAGTGCGGTATGAAGGGTTTAACGCCGTTTAACATCATGAGTTCCTACTAACAGAAGATCACTGTGACGAAATATTTGAGTTTTTTTCTAATTTCCAGTGGTTCTTCATTCGATTTTAACCGGTGATTTCATAAAAACAGATTCTCAATTAAACAAGAAAACAGACTTATAGGATGCTAAAATCCGGCAGTATTCATTAAATCTTGTAACAGATACCTTCGGAAAATATTCTGATCATTTCCTCTACTGATGCAATTTTTATGAAATGCACTTGGTACTTCGCCTGATTTTTCCCCATATTTATTTGAATTGGGAAGTTCGATATTATCTTAACAGATAGTTTTATATAATTCTTCTTTAAAATACCTTTTCCTTAAACATATCTACAAGATCTGCGCTTCGGAAAACAATTATGGGTTTTTATTCACTGATTCTGTTCTGATTATTCATAAAATCTTGAGTCAGATCTTAAGAATCGTTGGATGAGAATGTTATCAAATGTGGTTCAGAGCGGAAACAAGAGATGGCCTCGCAGACGCTTTCCTCATAAATATTAGGATGTTTTATTAAATACATTAAATTAAATTTGACCACGTCACTACGTATTGTATGTTTTTTAGATTTGATTATTGACTCTATGATTTCAACCAATCTCTCAAATATTTACAATGGCGTCATTTGATTTTCTTCAGTCCATTTTTAGTGCCTAGTTGTGCTAATTTTTTTCGCTGACTAATAATAATAATAGTAATAATAGTGTTTCATCTACCGGCAATATAGATAAAACCAAATACGAACTCAAGTTCTTGATATTTAGTCACATTCATAGAAGAATAACTGATCAAGTTTAAAAACTAAACATATGGATCCGTGAACATGTTATATTTTACCATACACACAAACTCAACTAAATATTATCCAGTGAAGACAAGAAAGTGATTTGACCCGCTTATGACATACGAAAATATTCATAACCAACTTTGTTTCTGTAGACGTACAGAAAAGTCGACCTAGCGGTAAATATAATCACAACAGAAGCAACAAAATTTATCCTGGGATAACTTTTCTTACATTTTCTACGAAACGATCCAGTCCTTCAACAATAATAACGTCAGCAAATCCTCTTCCCATATGAACATGTGAGAACCAATGTATTAATGCATCTTCAGAAGGTAGGTATCTGTAAGTGATTAGATGTCTTCATTAGACACAAGAATGAAATAGTATAATGATATTATTTATTAATTCAAATAAAAAAGTTTCTGGTAGTGTTACTAGAATATATCACAAGGATTTATATTACTTTCGAGCTGAACCTTATGTACAAGTGCTAGTGATACTACGTGACTGTCTGAACAAATGAGGTGGAGTTTGAACCTGTGACTAACTGAGTGAGAGTCGCATGATTTAAACACCCAACCATAACTCTGGTAAAAATTGAACTTGTACTCACTGGTATTTGTTCGGTACAAAAGATTATTAGCACGCCATATTGCTCTTCCATGCAGCCCTGTGACATCATAACAGACAGATATCAGACTTAACTAACGAAAACAACACTAGAGATGATGCTTTACACAGTCGAGCAATATATAGCTGTTGATGAAAACAAAATGATTTATTGGAGAAGATTTAAGTGCACTGTATCTCCTACCCGTGCTAACAACATTAAACTTCCCAAAATTGTAGAGGATTTAGTTTTTAACATGGTCAAGTTTGCTCCATCGAGATAACGAATTCACAAACTCACACGAAGTGGACATTATCCCAATTAGATGTAACGAGTTTACTGCAACCATGAACGTGAACGAAATCATATTTTAAAATAGCCTCTTTTCGGATAAAAACTGTGCGTAACTGCCGCGTTACAGCCTCATTCGCAATATTAAGCAAGAGCGTTGTGATGAGTGATGATACACTGAAATATAAATAGACAAACCTTATATTTAACCATAAATCAAAGCTATTAATAAATATTAAAATCAAATAAAGTGTACATTTCTAAAAACAAAAGTAATTGTCACTCGATTTGAACATATGAAATACTTGAGTAGTTTACTGTTTAAGTAGCCTGTTGTGTGGGAACATTGAACATCAGGCTATCAAGTAAATTACGTAGTACCGATACTCTGAAGCAATGAACACAAATTTGGTGATTGGACTTTAACTTGTGACAGTAGTAATAATGCCTTTACTCACTGTCTTCCAAGTTTCGAACATTTCGTTATTCTTGAGTTCCCCTTACAATATGTAATTCTTTGAGTTAGCTTTATATATGTCTAGCCATTTTGGTTTTTTCTGGGCTGTTTAGTGTAGTCACTGAAGCATCTTACTGCCAGTTGCCATAGTTTGGATACGGTGGTCAAAAGTTGAGACCAGGAGACTCACTCAAACAGCAACTGAGAGACACTGACTGTTAGATGTAAGCCACAAGTGGATAAACGAACGTCTCCAGGATCTAGGTGATGGATAGCCGAGATAATAACAAACGAAAGATGAAAAAAGTTGGCACAAAAGTGAAACATAAATTATATTAAAAGATAATGATTATTATGTGCTTTATATATTTTCCGAACCATGTTGTATAAATATGCGGCCAACTCCGCCTGTAGCACTTCTAGAGTTACTGCCGGTCCCAGCCCGGGTAAAGGAGGAGGGTTGGGCTTGGGGTTTATGACCCCATCCCCTAGAAAACTAACTCGCTAAAAACACGCTAACCAGAAAAAACAATTAAAACTATTTAAACTCACCGATCCAGAATCATCAAAGTATCATTCAAAACAAAGGAGGGAATTACAATGAATGTTATCCAGTGTTATGCACCCACCAATAATAGCAATGACGACATTAAAGATCAATTCTACGATAGGTTGCAATCAATCATAGAGAAGTACCCAAGAAAGGACCTCATCATTCTGATGGGAGATCTAAACGCCAAAGTCGGAATGGACAACACCGGATATGAAGACATCATGGGACTACATGGACTGGGAGAGAGAAACGAAAACGGGGAAAGATTTGCAAATCTGTGTGCATTCAATAAATTGGTCATAGGCGGCACAATATTTCCACACAAACGTTTACACAAAGCTACATGGATCTCACCGGACCACACCACAGAGCACCAGATAGATCATATGTGCATCAATAAAAAGTTCCGAAGGACAGTGGAAGATGTGAGAACCAGGAGAGCAGCGGACATAGCTTCAGATCACCACCTGGTTGTGGCCAATTTAAAACTGAAGCTAACAGAACTACAAAGGTTCAATACAGCCTTCCTTTGAGATACTGACAAACTCAATGAATTCAAGATAGCTCTCAACAACAGGCTCCAAGCCTTACAGGATCTACTGAAGGAAGAAGAAACTAATCTGGAGGATAACTGGAAAGATATCAAAGAAACATTAACTTCAACGTGTCAAGGGGTTTTGGGCCCCAAGAAGCATCATCACAAGGAATGGATCTCTATAGAAACACTGGACAGAATCAAAGAAAGGAAGAACAAGAAGACAGCAATTAACAACAGCTAAACACGAGCAGAGAAAGTCAAAGCACAAGCTGAGTACACCGAAGCAAACAAGCACATGGAGAAGAGCATTGAAGCCAACAGACAGAAATACGTGGAAAACTAGCAACCATGGCGGAAAAATCTGCAAGAGAAGGAAATATGAAACTACCACATGATACAACGAAGAAACTAGCAACGAGATATAGTAAACCAAAGAGACCGGTCAAGGACAAGGAAAGCAGCCCAATCACTGGAATTCAAGAACAGTGGAACAGATGGGTAGAGTAATTTGAAGAACTCTTGAATAGACCAGCTCGACTGAATCCACCCAACATCGAAGCACCACACACAAACCTTCCTATATATGTCAATCCAACAACGACGGAAGAAATCAGAATGGCCATTAGACAAATGAACAATGGGAAAGCAGCAGGACCCGCTGAAGCTGAAGCATTGAAGTCAGACATCGAAGTAACCACAAATATGCTTCACCTTCTATTCAAGAAGATTTGGGAGGAGTAACAAGTGCCGATGGACTGGAAAGAAGGACACCTCATCAAGATTCCAAAGAAAGGAGATCTGAGCAAATGTGAAAACTAGAGGCATTACACTACTGTCAGTACCACGGAAAGTCTTTAACAGAGTACTGCTGAACCGGATGAAGGACGCAGTAGACACCCAGCTTCGAAATCAGCAGGCTGGACTCAGTAAGGATCGGTCGTGCACAGATCAAGTTGCGACACTACGGAACGTCGTCGGACAATCAATTGAGTGAAACTCGTCACCATACATCAACGTCAATGATTATGAAAATGCGTTTAACAGTGTAGTTAGGAGAATATTATGGAAACTTCTTCGTTACTACGGAGTTCCTGAGAAGATTGTCAACATTATCCGGAACTCATACGACGGACTACAGTGCAAAGTGGTGCATGGAGGACAGCTGACAGACGCATTCCAAGTAAGGACCGGAGTCAGACAAGGCTATCTACTCTCTGCCTTTCTCTTCTGGTGGTCGATTGGATTATGAAGACCTCGATATCTGAGGGGAGCACGGAATACAATCGAAAGGTTGGATGCAACTAGACGATTTGTACTATCCCAAACACACCAAAAAATTCAGGTCAAGACAAACAGTGTAGTAGCAGCCTCAGAAGCAGTAGACATCAACATAAACAAAGGAAAAAGCAAGGTCCTCAAAAACAACACGGAGAACACTAGCCAAATCACACTTGATGGCGAAACTCGGGAAGATGTAGAATCCTTCACGTACCTGGGAAGTATCATCGATGAACAAGGAAGATCTGATGCAGACGTAAAGGCGAGGATTGGCAAAAAAGGGCCGCATTCCTACAATTGAAGAACATATGGAACTCAAAACAACTTTCAACCAATATCAAAGTCAGAATCTTCAATACCAACGTCAAGACAGTTCTACTATACGGAGCTGAAACTTGGAGAACTACTACATCATCAACAAGGTACAAGTATTTATAAATAGCTGTCTACGCAAGATATTTAACATCCATTGGACGGATACCATCAACAACAGCCTTCAGCTTCAAGCTGAGGAGGAAATTAAGAAAAAATGACGGAAATGGATAGGACATACATTACAGAAATCACCAAACTGCATCACGAGGCAAGCCCTAACTTGGAATCTTGAAGGGAAGAGAAAAAGAGGAAGGCCAAAGGACACATTACGTCGGGAAATAGAAGCAGATACGAAAAGGATAAATAACAGCTGGAAAGGATTGCCCACGAAGGGGTTGGATGGAGAGTGCTGGTGGGCGGCCTATACTCCTCCACAAGTAGTAACAGGCGTAATTAAGTAATATGCGGTCAAACATGTAATTTTGTAGTGAAACGAGTATTTGAAATTATCCGTATAATGAAAGGCATTTTTCTGGTACGTGTATTATCAGTGGTCTCTAATTGAAAGGATAATCCTTCCAATTTTTGAATGCTCTTGTGAATATACATTTCAATGAATTGGTATTTTATTCAGGTGATTATTAAAAACAAAAACTGATTCACATTGTATGACCGTTGTTGCTACCTTGACGTGGTGGTCAGGCTTGCCTATTGTGATGAAGCAACTGAGCTATACTGGCTGGAACAACCGCTCCTCAAGGCCCTACGATGCCAGAAAGGTCGATTGAAGAGCAGCAAGACTAAAAGCAACAAAATCAAGGTCCGAAGGAGAAGTCGTACTGCTGACTGTACAGAGGTGTGACAACAGTAAGGTGTTTCCTCCAGACAACCAGGATAACAGCGACGCTGCCTTCCCACAAGGAGGGGTGGGGTTAGAAAAGGTCGACCCTAAAAATGTACACCTCGCCTTATCCCACGGATATCCGTCTCCAGCGGTAAGGTCTCAACAAGTACAGAGCTAACACGAAAATTACTCATAAAAAGGTCGTGTGTGACCGACCTCAAGCAGCTATACCTTGGGCACTGCGGTCACGCTCTCGGGTCACTATGACCACCCCTAATCCAATTTCATTTTCAGGTACCTCCAGCAGAACCCTTCCACGGTGTGGGCAACCGGGAAGTGATAACCGCCCTCATACCTGTAACAGCACTCAAGACCACTGTATTCATAATCAACCTACCTCTTCAATTCCTATTATTCCTCTTACATCGACTTTCAAATCTAAACTCCCTCTTTCGGCTTCCTCCTCAAGTGTCACCACAGCCAACGATTCTAGTGCGCAAAACACTGTCCCACGTCTACTGAAACCTCGCTCCAAACTACACATTGGAGCCTTTAACGTACGCACACTATGCCGAATCGGTCAGCAGGCTTCCTTGGCTAAAACCTTAGAATCTCGTACGATTGATGTATGCTGTATCTCCGAAACACGCATACAGGATCCTAGTGTGGTCATTCACTTGACCTCACCTCGGCAAAACGGAGTGCCGACGAGATACACCCTTCGTGTATCTGGCGACTCGATGGCTAGTTCTCGTGGACTTGCAGGTGTAGGCATAGCACTAAGCATGAGGGTGGAACAAGCGCTATTAGAGTGGATCCCCGTTAACAGTCGTCTATGCGCTGTTCGGCTAAACGGCTCCGTAAGAACTCGGAAGGATAGGGACACACGTCGTTGCCTTTTCGTCGTTTCTGCCTACGCTCCCACTGACTGCAGTTCGGATGAAGTGAAAGATGAATTTTACAGAAAGCTGTCTGAACTTCTTCAGAAAGCTAAACGTTCCGACATAGTACTCATAGCAGGCGACTTTAATGCCCAGGTAGGTAGCTTAAACGAAACAGAAAGACATTTAGGTGGGTACTTTAGTATTCCGGCACAGAGAACAGATAATGGTGATCGTCTGCTGCAACTTTGCTCAGACAATCGTTTATTTTTAGCAAACACAAATTTTAAGCATAAGGAGAGACATCGTCTAACATGGCGACCCCCTGCACCAAACCAACGATGCACTCAAATAGACCATATTGCTATCAGTCATCGTTGGAGAGGGTCGATAGAAGATTGTCGCTCATTCTGGAGTACCTTCTTGGACTCCGGCCATGCCCTAATACGAGCACGCATCTGCTTGCGCTTCACTGGACGCAAAAAAGACCCATTAGAACTGAACTGAGTAACGAGAAAACCAAACGTAGGTTCCGAGAATAACTGAGGTCACACTTAGGTAGTTCTGAAAACGAGGCTGACCCAGATGTTGTTTGGAAAGATATACGAATGGCTGTGGAAACAGCTGTGACATCTGTTATTGACTTAAACCAAAGGGTTACAAAGAATCAATGGATTTCTTCAAGGTCTGTTGCACTGATAGATTCTCGCAAACTCATCCCATCAGGTTCTGAATACGATGAAGAGCGTAAAGAAATCAGATCTAGGTTAAGCAAAAGTCTAAGGAATGATCGTGAGCAGTGGTGGGCAACGAAAGCAAAAGAGATGGAAAAGGCGGCGGCTATAGGGAACACAAGACAACTCTACAGACTAATAAAAGAAACTGGAATTAATAAATCAAGTGTAAGTCAGACTATTTCGGAAAAAGACGACACTCTCATCTGCTCCCAGTCCAGACGTTTAGAACGATGGGCGGAACATTTTAAGGAGCAATTCAGTTGGCCTTCAGCTACTCTACAACTACCCTCTATTCCCAGACAGTGTGAATGGAACATTGAAGTAAGTCCCCCAACTCAAGGTGAAGTTCAAAAGGCTATAGCTAATCTGAAACAAGGAAGGGCAGCTGGCCCAGATGGATTGGCCCCAGAGGTCTTTAAGGATGGTGGTCTAGTTTTAGCGATTAGGTTGACTAATATTTTAGTTAAAATCTGGGAGTTAGACGTTATTCCATCTAACTGGTCACAATCACTTATTGTCCCAATATTTAAGAAAGGGTCAAAATCATCCTGTGACAACCACAAAGGGATTAGTTTAACGAACATAATATCTAAAATACTAGCTTCGATAATTTTCGGACGCCTAACTAAGACTCGTGAACTGCAAACACGTGAAAATCAGGCTGGCTTCAGACCTGGTCGTGGCTGCATCGACCACATATTCACCATTCGTCAGGTTCTAGAACACAGACATGCTTATCGGCGTCCGACAATAATGGTCTTCCTTGATTTAAAAGCAGCATTTGACTCTGTTGACCGAGAGGTTCTGTGGCAGTGTCTGTCATTGAAAGGCGTACCTCAGAAGTACATAAACCTTGTGAAGGCTCTTTACTCGAACACTACTAGTCGAGTCAGAGCCTATGGCGAACTGTCATATGCTTTTGCAACCTCAAGTGGCGTCCGCCAAGGCTGTCCACTTTCTCCATTTTTGTTCAACTTCATCATAGACCTCCTGATAGAAATAACACTCTCATCGACTGAATTCTCAGGTATTGATCTCCTACCAGGAGGTCCACTTATTGACTTAGAATACGCAGATGACATAGTCCTGTTTGGTGAAGACGCTGATGAAATGCAGAGTCTTTTGGTAACACTGAGCAACAATGCCAGAATGTTTGGGATGCGCTTCTCTCCCTCTAAATGCAAGTTGTTGTCTCAGGACTGGTCTGCGTCAACACCTGAACTAAGGATAGGGGGTGAAGTAGTCGAACGCGTTGACAACTTCACTTATCTTGGAAGTCTGATCAGCCCTAATGGGTTGGTGTCTGACGAAATCTCAGCACGGATTCCAAAAGGTCGTTTGGCCTTTGCCAACTTACGTCATCTATGGCGAAGGCGAGATATCCGTCTATCAATTAAGGGACGAGTATACTGCGCGGCAGTTCGTTCCGTTCTACTACACGGCTGCGAAACATGGCCTTTAAAAGTAGAAGATATTCGTAATTTACTAGTATTTGACCACAGGTGCCTTAGAAATATTGCGGGTATCTGCTGGGATCACCGGGTAAGTAATAGTGAGGTTAGACGCAAGGTATTAGGGAATGAAGGTAAATCAGTTGATGAGGTTATGAATCTTTATCGACTGAGATGGTTGGGCCACGTGTTGCGTGTTGCCTGAACACCGATTACCATAACGCGCAATGCTAACCGGTGTTAGGGATGATTGGAAGAAAGTTAGGGGCGGCCGAACCAAAACGTGGCATCAGTGCTTGAAGTCACTAACTTCTGCTCTGAGCCATGTTGGTAGATGCAGACTGCCTGGTTGGGGTCGGCGTGACTATCGTAACCAATGGTTGGAGACTCTTGGTGACATGGCTCAGAATCGATCACAATGGCGTCGGTGTATACACTCTCCGTCTTCCTTAAATTAAGAGATTAAAATCACTTCAAATCTTTCTTCCTAGGAACTAATTCTTTCTTCCTGTATTATCTCCTTATACACAATTTTTCTTCTATATATTACCACCACTGAACTAACTACTTTTATGAATCCGGTGTTCATCTTGTTGTGCTAATGCGGTATGGCAACTTAGACCGATGCATATACGTGCCTGATCCTACGTTGCAGCTGACTGACTGACTGAGATTAGTTCGCTTAATGAGTTGGTTGCCTATTGATTAAAGCATTTGAGTTTCGTCTACTAAATTGCAAGTTCAGATTCTGCGATACTTACCTTAGTTTAGACAAATGATTAGTATTACTAGCCTTTCACAAAAGTCAGTGCTATAGATTAAATACACAACCGCCCCAAATGCCCTGATACAATCGAGGGTGGGGAGAGTCAGATCTTCTTCACGAAATGCTCCCACATGATCACGCGTATACAGCCACTGTCAGAGAACTCCTACTCACTGCCTTCTCGTGGCGGGGGTGTTGTTTACGAAATTGAGAGGACAAAAAGCGAATGTTCGACGCGTTAACCGGGTTGGTGGATATGAAGGATCCACCCTGGGGAGTTGGAAAACCCTGATTCCAAACCGATGGTGCACATGGGCTCCAGGATCCTAAGGAAGCAAGTGGCGTATGAAACAGCTGCTGGTCACCGGCCACCATGGGACTACATCTCCTTACGATGCTCCACTGCCTTATGGATTAGACCCTTAGGTCAAACGCTCCGAGTGTGATCCTCTAAAGAAACTACCTACTTCAATCTGGGCACCCGAGTAGTATCATAGCCCACACACAAATAAAATGAAATGACAATAATTACTGGAAATACTGTTCGTGCTGCAATTAAAATTCAGACAACTCACATCCATTTTAGTGTGGCGCATATGTATCTAGTGCCCCTTTGTACCAACATTTATGTGTTCAAATAGAAACAACAACAAAAATAAAGAATACAGTAACTCCTTGATTAAAACCCTGACATCAAAAGTTTCTGACAATACCACTCTATTCGCCATATCCCATACAAGTAGACTACAGAATCCGTTTGCATAATGATGAAACGACAAACGGTGGTATAAATCAGATATCGTGCTAACTACAGTTTATGGCAGGTAATTTTGAAAGTGAGACCTACAATTTCTGTTTTTATGCTATTACAAGAGATGTAACTTGGGAAAAATTAAAGCTAACTTTGGCCAAACTATTTACATGAGATAGTGTTATACCGAACTTATTGTTACCACCGGCCGAAGTGAAGATTAACGATAAATTTTAAAGGATTACGTTTGAGTAGAAATATTCGCATACTTTCATTGATAATAAACTGCATGGTTTGTGATTCACTCACAAAAATGCTGTCCATATTAACCCCACAATTAATCTTGTGTAGCGTAGAACCCGGTCAGCAGGAATGAAACGTATGAAAGGGAATGAACGTAGGCTAACGTTATTGCAAACAAAACGTAAACATTAGTATAAAACCAATGGTGCAAACGAATCATATCTCATGAATACACAACCTACTACTTGATCTGACACTATTCATAATCAAAAACCTATTGAAGTACAGAAACACAAGCTGATAAAATTCGGCAAGTATGTTATTTTTCTACGAACTTTAATTACCTTTCAGGACACTTTTGAGTTTTATGAAAAATCATGGAGCTAGGAATGTCCGAATATGAACACTGCATCGATACAGGTAATAAATACTCCATCTCATGAGGTTTATTCAGTGATTACTTTGATACACTCCGCCGTATATTTAGATCTAGGTTGAGAGCAAATATTATCCAAGTCAAAAATTACATTTTGGTAATATGAATAACATGAAGTACTGTGACATGAAAAACAATTCTAAGCATAAACCATGGTACATGGACGAACAAATGAAATAAAGTACACAGTGGTAAAGTGTGGACAACGCTTCAGGGGTATCGTCCAATGATGGGGGTTGGGGCACTTGAAGGTCAAACTGTCGCAAGATGATTGGTGCGTAACACCGTCATTTTCAAGCTAGACATAGCTCGTTTTTGCGACCTTGAACGATCAAATTAACGACGGGCATTCTGTATTTTAGCATCAAGTGGTCGATTGCTTGAGTCTTGGTAGACATCATTTTAAGGTATTCGCTTATTCACATAGTCTCCTGGTGTCTGAAAAACACCGTGAAATTCGTTCAACTGTACTTAATGTTCAAATGGTTCAAATGGTTGTGGACAGAATAGAAGAAGCTTTCGCTTAACAGGCTTCCGTGTCTGGTGGCAGGGGATCACCAATACCTCCAGGCAAGAACCTAGGTATATTAACGATAAAAGAGAAAGAAAATGAATTGGAAAATCATAGTAAGATACTATCCTTAGTCCTTAAGAATAGATCAAGTCGCCTCTTAAAGAACTCCTGCGAAGTTGCTCGGACTAGCTCCGCTGGAAGCGAATTCCATCATTTGACAACTCTTAAGGAGTGGAAGTTGTGTCTGCAGTCCGTTCTACTATGTTGTATGTCTAATTTCTGGGTGTTACCCCTTAGGTTAGTGTTGGAACTAAGCTTAAGTAGGTGTATAAGAGGATGTCCAGAAGTGTTAAGGATACTGTAAGCCATCAGAAGGTCACCTCTAAGACGCCTATACTCTAATGGGCAAAGGTTAAGTGATTGAAGGCGCTCTTTATAAGGTTCGAATTTGAGTCCCCGAACTGATTTCGTGGCTTGCCGTTGGATATGCTCCAGAGTGTCCTTATCCTTTAGGAGTGTAGGAGGGAATACTGTGTTTCCGTGCTCTAAATGGTGACGAATGAAACTATTGAAGATTATGTGAAAAGTTCTCTCGTCAACATGACCAAAAATGCGCTTCAATGTTATCAGTGCAAGGTTTGCTCGAAAGGCATTTCTGTCACAGTTGGCGTGAGACTTTGAGTCCTAGGGCACCAGAACTCCTAAATATTTTTCGACTCGGGATACTATTAGGGAGGAGTTTCCCAAGTTGTAACTGTAGTCTGCGACGTGTCGCAGATGGACTACTTTACACTTTGAAGTGTTAGAGGTCTGTCTGTTGTCGTCTGCCTAACTTTGAAGTCGAGTCAGATCCTCCCGAAGTGCCTGTATATCCTCTTGGTTGCATATCTCTCTCCAAAGTTTCACTCTATGTGCTGCTGTGGCGTTTATAGGTATCTTTAGATGCATCTGGTAGAGTCGATCTACACTTACAAAATACCTCTCGAAGTAGAAATACTTATTTAGACCCATCTAGAGGTAAATTATAGCGCCGAATGATAGTATCACGGTATTGTCAGAGAGGTGATTTCTTGGTGGATATAAACTGGGATACAATTTTTCTACGGTCGTTTTTTCGTTTGAAAGTCTCCTAGTCGGTTGAGTTTTAATCATCACATATTCAGTACCACAATTCCTTGTGAATGTGCTAGTCGGAACAACTTCGTCCTCTAGCCTGATGAAGACATTGAAAAATAACTTGGACTTGCGGATGACTATATCGCGTTTTTATTGTTTTTCACATTTGTTGCCATACCAGAAACTGAAACAACGCCTCAACAGATAGTCTGGGGAGAAAAAGCTAGTAGACCGTTCAACTTGTGTCATTGCTTGTAGAAGATGTCTTTTTGAAGTTTCAGTGAAACATATGAAAAATAACTTTCGTGTACTTGAGTTGTGGTAATTTGAAGCTATGGAGCTTCGCTAAATAAGTGCCGCGGATGACCTTGAATGATATTCCAATAAGTAAGGTGAGTCTGTGTTTATTATTTTGAAACGATCAAAAGTGAATAAACTTTTGAAATTGCTTGTAGATTATGTAAAGCTCGATATCTCAAAATCTCTCACGGCTTACAAATTAATAGGCAATACGAGGAAAAAACATGTAAATATAATCAGAAAAATCTACTTGTTCCCTGCCACGTAATCGTTTGTGAGTCAACTTGTTCATCAGTCAGTAGGCACTGCGTGCAGTCAAGAAATTTCATATTCACAGAGACCCGAAGTTGCACGACTTTTTCAGATTTTTTATTCTTGGAAAGACAAACTTGTCAAGAGGTCTGGAGGTGGGACGATAATTTATTTCCGGATCACTGAGATTTAAGATTTGGATTTTCCAGCGCAGTTGGTCACATACTTAGAGAATTGGATTTCCTGGCGCTATAGTAATTGTCAGCTTGCTATTAAGATCCCTACTTTAACTCCTAACCCTAAATCTTTACACTAATTTAAAACTTTCTGTCAATACTAGTAGGCGATTGACTTTTCTCAAGGCCAATTTGTGTTGTTTAAATGTCATCCAGAAATTCTGACTACACTAGGCAAGCTAAGGAAAGACGCAAGTGGTGCCCGAAACGACTAATAAATGCACACTACTCCAGTTAACGTTTGATATACATATGTATCTAAAATAAAATGGCATATGCAGCTACTCGTGCAATTCCAGAACTCAGGGGTTCGTTATGTAAAGAACGGTGGTGTACGCACCTTAAATTGCCTCATTGAAGAGAAGATAAGACACTCACAAGAGCATACTAGAAGGGGAATAATATAGGCTGTAGGCCTCCTGTCCTTGCTACACAAATCTGAATCTATGACAGCATACTAGCGGGATTTTGAACGTGAAGTTTAGTCCTAACGTGGTTTGCATTTCTCAAACTTTTGCTGTGTTCCATTTCTGATCTAAACAATCTATTCTGAGCTATAAGTTCGGTAGATTACTTATTTTTTGAGTTTCGCTCAATTTAATAGTTAACTGTGGTTTTGCCCCAGCTAACTATTCAGTTTTTTTCAGTTTTTCACGTACAGGCTAGTTCATTTTATCTCATCTGTTTTCATACATTTTTCCCGTTTTAGTGTGGTTTTTAGTGTATTTTTAACGGTCTTAAGCTTTGATACTATCTCTAACACAGTTTACGTCAATACAGCCATGAAAAATTCATGTAAACGACCTGGATGCCGGTTCGCTGTTACATCTGGCATGCAGTGCGACAACTGCAAAGGTTGGTTCCATGAAGCGTGCACAGATCTCACAGCAACTGCTTACAATAGACTCAGAATGTCGGATCATAAGAGGGTATGTATTACGTGCAACACGGACGCTGTAGTATTGCTGATTAACATCATTGTCCTATTGACAGATCTGTGGAATAAGTTGTCAGCAAACTTGAAAACAGATAGCCATAAAATAGGTAGACAAACAAGGGCACGTAAAGAAAACAAGAATACGGATGTCGATAGGTCTACCATCGATGGACCATGCATTAGCTCTAATGATGACATGTTGAAACTCAGCACCATCATTTCGTCGACGGTAATTGACTCCCTCACTAAACTTGGATCTCCCAGTTCAGGGTCCTTAAACGCAACAGTGGCTCTTAAAAACCCTGCAGGTGACTGTACCCGCGCCAACAGAGCTAATAAGGACCAGGTGTCACCGTCCAAGTTTGACATCCCAAGTGTTGTATGGAAATCAACTGGTGCTTTGATCGCTCAGTCTACCCCCAAAAACGTCCGCCCGGTTATCAAAAAGTCTACGACTCAAAAACCTTCTTTGACCTCCAAACAACAACGTAGAAAACCTGAACGCACCGGAAAACCTGGGACAACAACAACGATCCGTGACGACTCTCTCATAATCATGAACCTCATAGACAATCCTGACCTTCCTCTCAGTTTGCAGGACAAAAACGACAGAATGCTCTGTGGTGAACTGAACAAAATGTTCGAACTTCATAGAATAGAGCCTTTGACTGTCACACGGCTCACTCGAGGAAAAGATTCTAAACATCAAAATCACCCGAGACTACTTCGTGTAACACTCAGGAAGGCTACCGAATTAGAGGACGTCCTGCTAGCTAGTCATCTACTGAAATCCGATGGGAACGTAAGAATACTGCTCGACATACCGTACTCTGAGCGCGATATCATACGGAACACCCCTAAAGAATCACGTGAGAAGTTTTTCCGCGGAAGAAACATAATTGTGCAAGGTATACAGGAAAATACGGACCCTACTCAATCAAACTCTGACATCAGGGAATGGAAATTCATCAAACAGTCCTTGAGGCTCAAAAACATACTGTCTCAGCATGTGATGAGACTAGCCAAGAAGGATGAGGATCCTAGACCCCGACTAATGAGGATAACTTTTCCATCCTCCCATATGGCGGCTGCAGCTCTGGAAGCATTTCGTGTCAACAGACGTCGGTTGCCAACTGAAATCCACATGCACCCGGACAGGCCATATGACGCCAGGATCAAGCATAAAGGCAAGATGGAGCTGACCATTCCACTTGTGGACAGTCTTAAGGATAAAAAAACGTGTAAACGACAGGGCCTACCAATTCGGCAAACCTTATATAGGTAGGCTACCTGTCCATTCACGTAAGGCTTATACAAACAAACAGGAAGAAGCTCACGCGTTTCAACTTGAAAGTATTAACTGCTTATACATGAACGCCGCGAGTCTACCAAATAAAATGGATGAACTAAGTGAACTTAGCAACGCTAATAAGGTTCATCTGATAGGAATATCTGAAACTTGGATATCTCCTCAGTACTCGGACCAGGAGCTAGCAATATCTGGGATGTCTCTGTTTCGCAACGACAGAAAAACAGGAATTAGGAGTGGAGTAGCCCTATACATACGATCTGGCTTCGAGGTACACCAAGTTCACAACCATGAGTTTGACAATCTTGAGGAATCCATAGGGTGCTCTGCCCACTGCCGACATCGAGTACGACAGTCGCATGCTGGAAGGACTATCCCGCTCCACGCGTCTTGGTTTCACTCATATCCTGATTCTAGGGGACTTCAATCTCCCTAGAGTCAAGTTCGCGAAACACACGTATATTGGAGGTGAAAACTCAATTGAAGCTCGGTTCTCCAACCTCATTGAGGATCTGGGATTATACGAAAATATGAAGTCAGCGACTCGTTGGAGGAACAGTCAGACACCGTCGTGATTAGACTGTGCATTTACAAAGGAAGA